CTCGCGGCGTAGCCGGTCACAGCCACGCAAGAAAGCAGCCTGCGCGCAAAGCCAAGCCTGGCTCTGAGCTCAGCTCGTGCCTACGGGTTGCTTAGGTCACTTCTGCTGAAGCGGTGCCATCAGCAGGAGGTTTCACCCTCTGCCAGCGCTGGTTTGTGGCAGGAGAGCGGCCCCGTAACGCCCCGAGGCCGCTCGGGTTGCCCGGACCAGCCCAACACGGGAGGCCTCAGCACCATTCCCACCTTCACAAGAAGCGGGACGCAAGACAAGAGGTCGGATGCATCGGTGCAGTTTTGTGCGGGCATGACGTGACCGTTCTGGGGCTGGCACGGGGCCAGACGTTGCAGAAGGTGACCTGGAGCCGACGTAAAGGGAGCTGAACCCCGGTAAAGCCCCGCAGGGCCTCGCTGCAGGGAGCAGGGACGCAGCAACGGGGAAAAGCTGCTGCAGGAACAGGCAGGGTGGAGCGAGAGCCCAACCGCAAGCCTCAGCCACGGGTGGCTTTTGCAGTGGTGTCCATGCCAGGAGATCCCCAGAACTTGATGAAAACTGGAAGCTTAGGAACAATGGAAATGTTATTACAGTTTCTTCACAGGCGTATCTGGAAATTCAGTCCAGACACTCCAACCGCTCCCAGGCAGGGAAGTCAAGCACGCAGCGCACTCTTTAGTCCTCAGTTCTGAACACTGAATTTTGTAAATCCAATGCTGGACTTTTTTTTTTTTAAATTGCCTCTTTTAAAAAAAAGAAAAGTTCATCAGACCTCGGGGTCTCCCTGAACTGGCCCTTAAGGAAACAGAAATCTGCACTTCACTACTTTATGGGACCAAAACAAAAAGCAAGCTTGCAGGCAGCTCGGCACGGCTACATTCAGAACCAACCCACTTCTGGATGCAAAAGTTCGTTCTGTAAAACAATTTTTAACAGCCATGCTGTGCAACAGGGCTAGTTCCAGCAAACAGCATAGTAAATGATGTAGAAAACAGCCTTGTTCCTCAGCCAGCTTGGGGGGAAGGCGGGGACGGGATAGCATAGGGAGCAAATTGTCCTCCGTCTGTAACTGCTCCAAGGAACAAACCAGCCCGATGCTATTATTTTATTCTCATTTTTCTCCTTGTCCAATGAAGGCGACCAAAATTTCATACCCTGTTCCAAAAAAAAATGACATCACTGCCCCCTTATCTAGTTACAAAATATTTTCCTCTGCTGCTTCTAGGGACTTTCAGGCTGTCAGCCTGGCACAGGTTAGCTCAAGTTTTCCAGAGTCTTGGGTGGGGGGGAGGAAGGCAGTTTCTTCCCCCTCTTCCTTAACTGAAATTAAGCTGAAGGCCTTTGATGCTGATGGCTTCAGCACGACACCTCCTGCCAGAAGCTCTTTTGCTGCTCATCCCAGCGCAGCTGACGGAGCAGATTG